GCCCGGCCCCGGCCACCTGACAGTGTCCTCCTGTCCTTCCCCAGAGCTCCAAGGAGGATGCTGACCTTGCCTACTCCACCTTCCTCCTCACCTCCAGCAGCATCGTGCAGGGCGGCTCCGGGGGAGACAGCGCTGCCCAGGACGTGTCCCCCCCAAAATGGGAGGGCCAGATCTGAAGGCAGGGGACCGAGAGGCGGCAGTGACTGGGACCGGCTCTACCGTGAGGATCAGAGCAAGACATCAGCAAGCAGCACCGTTTATTGCTACCACAATTCGCTATAGCTTGGCCTTTCTTTGCTTAAATGAATCTTTGAGCGGTGATTCAGGAGGAATCATTCCATGCCAAACGGGGCGGGGGGTGCAGGTGTGAGCGAGCGGGTCAGACTGGGAAACGGCAGGGGCTGGAGCGGCTTAGCCCACCGGCAGCCCCAGCCCCACCAGTGCCCTTCCAACACGGTGGGCTCTCAAAGGCCACAAGGCACATTTAAAAAAAATCTCATTTTCTTTTAAAGGCAGCTGGAAAACCCTCTAGAACAACGGCTCGCACTTTTGATTCCTCTTAGCTTTCTCATCCGGAGGGTAGTACCTGCAGACCAGACACGGTCCGAATTGTTTCCATGCACAAGCAATAAAGAATATCACTGGCTTTCAGCAGACCCGGGGGACTCGCAGTCTGTGGGAGGGTGCGGGGACGGTGCACCCCAAGGGGCGCAGTAAGGGTGCATTTGGGGGGGGATTTCTCCTCCTCATACTGCAGCATTACAGTATCACATCTGGTGCCGCACATGGCACAGGACGGTAGAAGAAACCCACAGTTAATGGAGATACACAGGAAAAGTTTTGCGTAATGTTTCTCATCTGCATTTTCATCAAGGAATTGATCACAGCGTGACGTTAATTGGTATGACAACCTACCAGCAGCCTACGTAGCTGATTAGGCAATAGGCACTGGTGTTCCCTGGCACTGTATCCATTTGCATGGTACAGACCAAATTCCCCAGAGCAGCTGGACCAACAATCTCCCATTTCTGTCTTGGAGTTGGAACAACCGAGCCCAATCCGTGCTCCTCTGCCACGGAGCCGTCCCGCCGAGGGTGGCCTCCAAAACCCACCCTTTGCTTAATAAACCTGAGCCACACATCACTCACGCATTTTCCCTGGCTGACTTCACGTTCATCCAGGCAGAAACAAGGATAACTGTAATTAAATGTGATCTCTTGGTCTTATTTTTGAGAGCGGATGCCAAAGAGAGAAAAGCGATTTGTTGAGGCATGGATTTCCAAAGAGCAGCACGATGCCGCTGCCTGTCAGATGCGGGTACAGGAAGCTGAACACCCCGCAGATAAAGCAACGTAGGAAGCAGCAATGATGAAGAAGTTGCAACAAAGCAGAGAAGCATTTTTTCCCTGAACGCCAGGAATGGGATGGGCTGGTGCCTGCGCGGCTACGAGAGGGACTGCGGAGGTGTCCGACGGGGCCAGAGCTGTTCGGGAGAGAAGGGGCAGAAACTGCACAGACAAATTCAAATTCCTGAGCCGGCGTTGGTTACGTGCAGCTCTGGTAGCAAGCCATAAAATATTAAAAGTGAGGAGCATCACCCTGGCTAGAGCCCGAGCTGATGGTCTTCCAGTAACATCAGAAATATATTTCTGTTTTAGTAAAACATTAGCTACACTTTAAAATGAAACCCATGCAGTAGCTCAGCAAGGTGTCAGGCAGTGGCTGTTTGCATTAGCCCACAGTCGCTGAGATTTCACCGAGGATAAAACCCAAATTATTCCCGAATCATGGACCTCCCCAGAGTAAGAGCTGAGAGGAGCTTGGCTCACTGTGAGCGGGAGGGCAGCAGCTCCAGCGGTGTTTGGGTTTCCCCTCCCAGCCCTGCATCTGTGTTTTCACGTCCCTATTGCCATAGTTATCACCTTACAGGTATCAAGGCTAGGAAAAAACGGGCTGTTTCCCACCCGCCTCATCCCCCGGGCTGCATCCCCTCGGCAGCACGGTGGGAAGGGGCTTGAGTATCGGAAAAGGTGAGGAGGGGCCAGGACAGGTCTGCGCCTGCCTGGAGTTGCTGGGAGAGGATGAATTATTCTGGTGCAATGGGAAAGGCGTGCACTTGGAAAGTGTCCCTGGGGTAAGCAGTCACAAAGCTGCCGGAGAACGCTAAGGTTTGGTAACTTCTGAGAGGAGAAAACCCCTTTCTCTCTCCCTTCGCGAATGCGCTTCCTCTTCAACCTGCCCACCGGCGTCCTTTTCCCAGCTCCGCTCCTCCCGCACCGCGCTGGGAGCAGCGAGGGTGAGCTGAACGCCCGAGAGAGGTGCAGGGGGTGAGAAACATGGGTGGGCTGAGCATCCTGCCGGCGGCTCTGCCTGCACCCGTCGGCCCTGGCAGCTGCCTGCCCGCAGCTCCTGCTGCTTCCCGCTGCTGACACTTCCATCTGGCACCTCGTTTCCATCGGGGCATGTCCCTGGGCTGCTGCAGTGCTCTGCAGTGGGTGGGAAAGCGTAAACTTAGTTTGACATAAAAGCAAAAAACACGCGTGGGTTGAGGCATGCAACCCTCTGCAAAGGGTACAAAATCAATGGAATCTGATAAGCAACAAAAATTGTGCCAGCATAAGCTGAGGGTGTGGAATAAAACCCACACTTCTCACTCAAGCTGTGACCAGAGCCCACCACGATCAGTGGCAAGGTCCGCAGTCCCATCAAGCAGCCCCATCTCCTTCACCAGACGGTTTGCCAAAGGTGCCGACTGATTTTGTCTGGTCAGTGACGAGCTGTGGTATCTCTTTGCATCACCGCTCCATTCCTAATGGTTTTTCTTTAACAGAAAATCATGGTACATGCAAGATAGCCGTCATTCTTAAATGGTTGATTTCAAGGGTGATGGTGTTGAAAGATCGGCTTCTTTTTAACATTGACAGAACGTGGAGGGATGTATTCACCCGCTCATGCCCTGGCACCGGGACAAATGAAAGTCACACTGCAAAAACTCATGAGAAAGCAAATTAAAACAATCCAAGTCCCGAGCGGCTTTCCTTTGGTGCAAGCAAATATTTGAGGAAGGATAGTGAGCAATCAAGGAGATCTTTCCTTTCCAAGTGAATCACCAAATCCCGCTCAGCGTGAAGCACATGCATATAAGCTGTAGGCAAATGCTGGTGAGCTCACCTGCCAGATCACCAACGGGGCCTTTTTGGGAAGGGACGAGGAGTGTCCTCCTCCTCCGCAGCTCTTCATTCTGCTGGCACCCGGTGAAAGGCGCAAGGCTCCGGTGACGCCGGTGTGCTGCCGGAGGTCTCGACCAGGGTCCTCCTGTGATGGGGATGAAACCAAAGCAGTAACTAGGTTCTCCCTGAGGACACAAGGACCTTATCCCGTAATAACAAAATCTGCTGAAGAGCCAAAGCTCTCTCTGTGTCACCTCTGCAGCATCACTCGAAATTGCCCAAGCTGGGAACAGCCAGCCCTCCGGCCACCCCAGCTGCTGCAGCTTGGCTGTGCCCGCGGGCTGGGAAGGGAGAGCTGGAGAGTGTTGGGCTGTCCCACGGGAACCGAGGTGCTGCAAAGCAGTTTGTGCAAGCCTGAAGGATTCAGACCTAGGAGCAACAGCTCGACCCTAAGAGCAATAAGAGCCGCTCAGAGCCAGGGAAGAGCAGGCAGCGCCCTGGCTGTGCTCGCGCCGCCGCAGCCGGTGTTTTGGTACAACTCGCTCAGCTTAGTCGATTCCTGGAGCAAAGTGCGCCAAGTCAGAGGTCTACCCCCTAGCCTCACTCAAGCCTTACGTCTAATGGATGCAGCAGTAAGACTTCATCACTTGAAATATTAGGACTAGAGTGCCGCCAGGGACGTAAGTGTCCGGCTGCTCTGGCTTCTGCTCGCAAGCAGCATTTACCTGGGCCCTGACACCAGGAGAGTGTAACTCCGCACCTCCTGGCTGCACGGAGCGGTGCTTGGGCGGTCCTGCTTCATTTGCTCAGACATTAGGCCTCTGCCATTGTCAGCTACTGCAGCGATATATGTATTAACACCTTGTGGGAAAACACGGTGGAAAAGGGATTTAGAGCACGGGTGGGTACCAGCAATCTGTGCGCAGTCACCAGCAGCTACAGGAGCCCCAAATGCGTGACAACAGAGCAGTGCACAATTAAAATAGTCTCAGGGACAATCTGGGGTGATTTAGTATCACTCAGGTCTAAACTTTGGTCTCTCCGGCACGCCAGGAGTGGTGCGTCACCTCTGGGATGCTGGCGTTACCGGGAGCGACAGTACCTGCTGTGAAAGGGCACCACGGTGAATTCGGAAAGTTTTGCCAACAAGAAATATATAATTCCTCAGAATTTTGACAAACAGACTCAGCACAGTTTCAAGTGGGGTTTATTTACAGTAATTGCAACACATTTCCACAAAACTTACTGCCAAGTGTCAGTAAATTACACAATGCACACAAGAACCTTTTTCTATTCAGCAACGTATCTTGCATACGAAGTTTTCTTTTACTGATAAGGCAGAAAATATCAGCTCAAAAGGAAACACAGATTTCTAAGGCCTGACATACCTGCTAGGTGCTATTCTTGGAAGCATTTCTCACGCTGTGCACCTCGTTTCAGCCAGAGCCATCAGCGGCAGCAGCCACATAAGACCGAGCCCGGATTTACGAGCACTGCTCTGCAACATTAGCTACGCCAGAGTCGGTCCAGCAGGCACTCAGCGCTCATGAATATACAGTCCCTATACAAACATTTTATAATTTAAACAATACTTTCATTAAATGATCACAGCTTATGCCTGCTAGCACGGGAAATCCATTTAGATTTTCCCTTGGAGAGCGTCCTTTGATGGAAGTCAGCGAAGCGCGCGCTCTGACTTGCTCGAACCCGCTATTTCCAGCTTAATGCCAGGCTCTGCTGCTGCATTCGCCTGTTCGCCTGGCCAGCAAAACACTCGCTGCTCGATAGCACAGCTGCAATCGGTGGGACCCTGCACTGACACGGTAAGCGCGGGTGTGCCACGTCCCAGCAGCGTCGTTCGCCCCGGCCGCCGGTGGGTCTTTAACGCCTCCTGCTCTCTAACGAGATTTCTCCATCCAGTCTAGTAGGATGTCCAGCTCGCCCAAGGATTTAATTGCTGCAGACGTGACATTCAGCTGAAACGATATAAAGGAACAAGTCCTAAGCAAAGATAGCGAGTACAACCCCATGTAAAGAGAATCTGAATGTCTGCGTTAATTACTAGACTTAGTCATCAACTTACCCCCTCGTAGTTCACAAGTATTTGCTTAAATTTCTCAGTGGATTCCTGTCCACACATGCACTTATTTTGCTCATGCTAGAAAAATAAGATAGAATTCATTAGTTTGGGGGGGTTGTTTTTAAAAATAAGGGATCACTTTCCAGTTATGCTGGAAATTACTGTATAGACTGAGACCTTGTTAAACTGTGGAAAACAGACTTCAGCTAAAGATTAGCTGAAGATTAGATTCAGCTAAAGATTAAATCAGACTTCAGCTAAGAACAGAGCTTACTCCAATAGACAGGGGCAGGGTAGATATCGTTCTTGAGAACTTAGAGGGGAGTTTGCTGATGAGTGGGCAAGTATAAAAATTTCCCAGCAGACGTACCACTCTTTACATCAGGCTTCTTTTCTTGTTAAAATTATTTTTATAAATAAAGATTTTGTAACTTTATAAAACACTTAGGTTTGTTTATATACCAGATACTAACAGATGAAACTAAACCGTAGCAATACCCAGGACTTACACACTGTCCGAGTTTCCTCTTCACGCTGAGGAAGGAGTTGGCTATGCTGCTGATTTTTCGGTTGATATACGAATCCTCGGTCTTGCAGTGTTTGAAAACTTTGTCCACGTAGAAGTTGAAGAGGTGGTGGGTGATGCAACATCTATCTGAAGACTTAAGGAATAAATTTCATTTTTAAAAGGTCTTCCATGGTGCTTTCAACCTGTAGCGGCCAGCCCTTCTGCCCCCGCTAGAACAAGTCATCTCTAACACCAAGCACGGTAGCTGAGCACCGCGGGATGTTTTGACTCATGTAAAGCTTTTTCAGTGATGTTTGCTGTAATTTGATAACATATATAGGCAATTAAGACTGATTTTCCAGGAGATGCATCCTCTGCAAGTCTCATTGAGTCAACAAAATAAATACATGATTTTGTAGCTGGGTATTAGAGGCTGAGACCTGAGGTCTGGTGCCTGTGAGTGTAAGAGAGCTGCAAAAGATGTTTTTATAATATATTTCACCTGCTTTTGGACTCCTTTACAGCTTTCCACGCAAATCCTGATTCACCTCCCTGTGCCACCTCCAACCGAGGTGCTGGGGAGCCACAGCTAAAGCTCCTGTAACTGGAGCATCACATCCAACAGCAACAAAAAAATCTCTGCCCACCATTTCTGGAAAGACAGTCATAGTGAAAGCCCGGTGCAAGAACCGGCAGTGGGACACCCACTGCTTTTCGCATATGTGATCCGCATCACTTCATCCTCCCTGACCTGCGCTGGCTGCCAGCACCCGCGTTTCGCAGGGACGTAGAAGTCGTGGTGTTGAACAACTTCCCCAAACGCCCTGAGCGGGTACAGCTCGTGACCGGGGTTAGGATGTCAGCTGGGCGAAACTATTCAGAGGAAAACTGGAGACACGGTAAGACACTTACCTTAACCTTGTGCAGAGAGTGTGGGTAGGACAAGATGCTGAGGGTCCTGAGGGGGTCTCTGGCTTGCTGCACGGGAGAAGACAGAGACGGTGAGGTACGTGCTGGCTCCAGAGGGGCTTCAGCCGACTAAAGAGCTTCCCCAGCTGGAGAGCCCGGAGCGGTACTTACAATGTTGGCTTTAATTGCGCTGAAACCAGACCTAATCTCAGTCACACTCACTGAAATCCTGCAGGGTCCAAAGTGGAAGATTTTGTTCCCAGCTGTCGGCACCAGATTCAACCAGCACGACGTGGAGAAGAGGCAGAGGAACAAGTGGGATCCCTTCATGCTGCTGCGGGATGCACACACAGCCAGCTGCCTGGGATACCTGCTCAAGGAAAACAACATCGCCTCGCTACCTCTGCTAAACAACACAGCTGTGATGCCTATGAAAATACATGTGTTTTATATAGTACTTGTATGTGTACACGTGGTTTTTTAAACCTACACTGACTACTCTCGCTACCCATTTCTTCTTTACTCCCTATGTGCAAGAGAAAAAATCAAATAAAAACAAATATTTAACAGAAGATCCCAAAAGATGCAAAAAAATAAAATAAAAAAACCCACCAGTACAAGATTGCATGTAAATAGACAAAGTTCCTGTGAAAAATTTTCATCAGAAAAGTAGATACAGATAAATTAAATTTTTTTAAGTCTACTGACTCAGAAGCAGCAAGAGCTAACTGACTGAAAGCAGCAGATCCCAAAGTCAGATCCCAAAAGAAAATGCTTTCCCTCAGAAATAGTATACTTCAAATGCAGGTTTTGTTAGCACTGAAAATTAAGGTTATTAATGAAAAAAACCCTTTCAGAGGCACATTATAGGAATACAAGGAAATACACACGAGCACAGAGAGCAAAAGGATAAAATCAGTATTTTACCGTGTTCTTTGATGTGGCTTCACCTGTCTCACTGACGTCTGACCTGAAGAGCTCCAAAGAACGCGTTTTTATCCAGGTATCGGGAGGAAATAACTCTGGGATTAACTTTTGGGATTTTTCTTGCTTTTCCCAGCATGTATTTCCCTTTGTAATTCACTGAATTAATGAGCTAGTGAAAGGGACCAACTCTCTCACCCACGGGTGTTTCCCTAGCCTACGGAGGCGGGAAATCTTGGCATTGCCATACCATTTTTCCTTCGGGAAGAAGGATGCGACCAAGAGGAGGGACCATCGTGGGGGCTCCGTCTCCAGAACGCCACGCTCGGGGCCTCCCCCCGGCACGGAGCCGTGCTGCCAAGCCCCTCCCGGAGAGAGGCCGTTCCCGGCTCCCGCGGAGCTGTCGGGATGCCGGAAGCCGAGTAGTCTCACCCCGCAGGATACCAGTGGTGCAGACCCCCAAGGTAGGAGGGTTCCTGGCAGTAGGACGTGGCGTGCTGTTAAAATAGCGTGACTCAGAAAGTTGGCAAGACCTTTCCCTGTCACTGTCCTGGCACATGGGGCCTTCACCGCCGGGAACGGGGGACGCTGCGCTCAAGTTGCTCCTCAGGTGGGTGGACACTTACCTCCATCGGCACGTCCCTGGTATTTGGAGACCGGAGATGCCCAGGTAGGAGAGGACAGGGCTTTGGGATGACACAGCTCCCACCACAGTGCCAGGAGAAGTCACTCGGTTGCCAGGAGCATGGGTGACGTAGGTGATCATGATTCACAGTCCAAAGCTATCACCCTGCGGAAGGACAGACATTTCACTCAAACTTTTAAAGTCCACCAGCCCAGCAGCAGCAGGGAAGTTCTACCCACAAGCAAAGACTTCGACTGCAAGGTCAATAATTACCCTGCGGCACGCACTAGCTGCTGAGAAAAACTGATGGAGCCAAGGTCCTCGCGCAGACCAGACACCTTCTCATAGCAACGTTTCGGATCCAGACTGTCCCCTGGGGTTTGCCAGCTGGGGCATGCTGTCACATGGATGTGGCAGTACTGGTGCAAACCCCAGGCTGGTTCTCCATGCTGTTGGCTCCGAGGCTAGTTTGGTTGTTTCTGTAGCCCCTCCAGAGATTAGCTAAGTCCAGACTGCAAACAAAAACGAGCAGTTAAAAAAACTTCTTGGACTACCTGCACCCGGTGGGGAAGATCAGATGGACTAGAGGACATGGAGGTGGCAAAGACGTGCCTCTGACCCCACAGCCAAGCCCCGGCGCGGCCACGGTGCTCTGGGTGGGAGCAGCAGCCCGCACGCCGGCCCGCTGCGGTGCAGGTCTACCTTGTGTGCTGCTGCCTGTGGGCCGGGGCTGTTCTAGAAAGTTTTGCTGGGTGAGTAATTCATTGATAGCCAAGCTCAATCTTGAGCGTATATCCATCATCAGGGGAAGACGTAGGCAAATAGATTTTATGCCCGGGCTAGTCACTGTGTTGCATACAGTGTTGTTGAAACTCCCCAAATGCACCAAACATGCCTCACTCACCCCTGTGCCTTCGCACTGTAGGACAGCCAAAAGGCAGGTCCAAATCTGCAGCAGGTTGCATTTGCCCTTGCTGAGGCATCCTCAGCAGCACAAGGCTTTTAATCTCTGCCTTCCTCTCCCCACTCCCAGCCTGTAATTGCAGCAAAAGTTTTGCTTGGAGCAGAGGAAGTGGCACCAGCGGCGTTCCCAGGCAGCCCAGCGCACACCCAGCCTCGGTGAGGGAGGGAAGAGGCAATGAGTTCTTACTTAATTATGTAAATTGCAGATGAGAAGAAGGGATTTCTTCTCTTTTTTTCCTTTTGGTAACTGAACTGACGCTCAAGACAGGTCAGCCAAATGCCAGCAGGCAAGAAACATCATGGGTTAAAAATTGCCAGCCAGGCTGGTGGAGGAAAGATGCTGGGGCGATACGGGCACAGGCGTGAAATGCCGCAGTATCGGGGTCCAGCGCTTTGCTCCGTTACAGCCTCTGCGTGGCCCCGGGCGGGCGTCCCCGGGCCCGTCCCTGCGAAGCAGCAGCGCAGCCGACCCTCACCGCGAGGGCAAGGAGGAGGAGGAGAACCCCGTCAGAGCCGGGGAGACAATCTGGGTAGTTTTTCATTTTTGGTTTTTAAGTACGTGTGCAAGGGTGACGATTGATTATGCCAAGCGCTGGAGCTGGGGGAGCTCCGAAACCCTCGCTTTGGGAACAGATGGGATGGCATCGGCGGGGATCTCGGCACGCGTTGGACCGGGTCCCGATGGAAGCGAATCACCCCGGCTTGGCTGCCTAAGGGCAGCTCTCGTCTACTGCCACTGCAGCAACGTGCAAATACCTTCAACAGAACGGCAAGCCATTTCTCATATGCTCTGGGAAGGAAGAGGAAAAGGAGAAATAGGGATTTCTGAAACACAGCAGCGTGACGATGCAGATGAGCTCAGATAGTAAAATAAGAACTGGCTGCCCCGGGCGCTCTCCGAATAATTAAGCCTTTCACGTACTGCAGCGCTGGGAGCGGGGAAGCGGTCCGGGGAACCCCTCCAGGCAACTCCCAGCTCCTCCCTCGGGATTTTACGGTAGGCACGTTGTGACAGGGCACACTAAAAGTAGTTACGACCCAAAAAACAAAGGCGGCAGAGAGGGCTGTTAGCCAGCTGCCACCACACTAG